TAATATAATATATTTCATTTTTTTATTTTATATATTATTATATATTAATTTTTTATATTAAAATATAATTATAATTTTATTATACTTATTTTTTTTTTTTTAATATATTTTTTTTTTATAATTATAATAACAATATTTAATTTATATTTAAATTTATTATAATTTTAATATTAATTTTTTAATTTTTTTTTTAATTTTTTATTATAATTTTTATAATATACATAATATAATAAATATTTTTAATTATATTATATTATTTTTTTAATTTTTATTTATATAATATAAATTTTAGAAATATTATTTACATTAATACTATATAATTCAAAAATAAAAGATATTATAATTTTTTAATAATGTATTAATATTTTATTATTTTATTAGTTTTCATTTAAATTATTATATAATAAATATTAAAATTTTATCAAACATTTTTTATTAAAAATTTAAAATAAATTTTATTTAATTTTTAATATATTATAATGTTTTATATTTTTACTTGAAAAAATAAATCTTTTTATAATAAAATATTTAATAATCAAATTACATAAAATAAATTTTAAATATTTTTATAAATTATACTATTTATATAGATAAAAATATTTTTTTTTTTTAATACATATAATTTAATTAATTTATTATATATTATTAAATAAATTTATATAAAAATTATAAATATAAATTAATTTTTTTATTTTTTTTTAATAAATTAATATTAAAAATTTAATATGATAAAATTAATAAATGAATTATAAAGAAAAATTTAATAAATATACATTTTTGAACATTTCAATTGATTTATTTTATTTTTCATATCATATTAAATTTAAAATATTATTATTTTAATTTTTCTATAATTATGAATTATTTTTTGGTAATTTATTTTAATTAAGTTATTCTTTATTTTCTGTATTTCTTAATCAAATTATTTTATTAATCTTTTCTAATTAATATTAAATGTCTTTTTCTAACTTTTATATATTTTTTTTTAAGTTTCTTTTTCTTATTAAATTTTAGACATCTAAATATTTTCGTTTTGATTATCTTTTAAATTAATAATGCTTTATTAATATTATGAATTTTTTATGTCTTGGATTTAATTAATTGTATTACTTTTTTTATTTATTAATTTAAAAATATTGTTTTATTTATTATTTATTAGAAAAAGTTCTTCTTATAGAATTTAAAATAAGATTTGGAAATATTTATTATTATTATTAAAAATCGGTTCTTTGAAATTATTTAATGTTTGTACATTAAATAATTAAATTATTTTATAAAAAAAAATTGGTCAGTTTCTAAATCATTTATTTTTGTCAAAAATTGAAAAATTAAATTATTTTTTTAGAATGAATCCCAATTTATTTTAAAAAAAGAAAATTATTTATTCTTTATCTTTTTATTTTTTAATAAAACGAAAACAAATACTACATCTATGAAATAAGCTTTCAGTTTTTATTTCATTGTTAATTTTTATGTTTATATCATTAAATTTTCTGTTTATTTATTTAAGAAAGTTAATTATTTTATTCTTTTGAAAAAGTTTTGTATTAATTTACATAGAAAATATATCAAATAACTTATTTCAATTGAATTTTCTTATTTATATAAAATATTATTGTTTGAAAATATAATTTCGTTTTATTCAAATTATTATTATTATTCTATATTTTCATTTAGTAATGATTAGGAGAATTCTTATTTTAAAATTAAATTTTTTTCTTTAATTTTTTCATTTAAAACTTATTGTATGTTTTCTTTTAAAGAATTAATATTTATTTTTTAAAAATTATTTTATTCTTTTAAAATTTTCTTTTTCTTTTTATATTTATAATTTTGTTATATTAATTTTATTAATTTAACTTCAAGTTCTTCACTTTAAAGAATATTTTCATCTTAAATTTAAAAATCGATTTTTCCTTTACCGTCAATTAATAAAATAATATTTTTAATTAATGATTATAACTTATCTTATTCTTATAATATACTTTATTAAATAGAATATGTTATATCTTCAATTTAATGTTTTAAAGAATTGTTTTCTTAGATAATATCATTAATCTAATTTTAATAATATTCTCCTCTTAAAAGATTTTATATTTCAGCTTATTATAACTAAAATATCAAAAATAATTTAAAATACATATATATATATATATATATATATATATATATATATATATATATATATATATATATATATATATATTTATATATTATATTTATTACTTTATATTTTTGAAGTATTTCTTCTTTGCTTTTTATAAGAATATTTGCATATTATTATATTTCAATTAATTCTTCTTAAAGCTTTTATTTTTCGCTTTATAAAACTTAATTTTATTATTCTAATTATTATTAAATATTTTAATTTTGTATTATTTATTATTTATATTTTTTTATCTGCATTTTTTTTTGTTTTAGTTTAATTTTCGTTTTACTTTCATACTTTTATATTGTATCTTGTATTAAATTGCTTTAATTATCTATTTCAATCTTTAAACTATTATTTTCTTTTTATATTAAGGAACATTATTTTTAAAAATCGTTCTTTTATTTATTATTGTTTTATTAAAATTATTCAATTATTTATTAAAAATATATTTCTTTTTAAAGCATTTCTTCTATTTTTATCTCTAATTAATTTATTTATTCCTTTAATGCTTTTTACTTTTATATTTCTTATATTTAATTTTATTAATTTTTTATTTCTTGATTATCTATTTGTTTTTTATATGATTTTGTTTAATCTTCTAAATAACGTATTCTAGAATTTAATGCTTCTATGTCCTGTTTTTTTAATTAGATTTCAGTTTCTAAATAAGTAATTTACTTTTGGTAATCTCTTGTCAATTATCTTATATTTTATGGACTATTTTTGCAATTATTTAATTAATTCATAAAATTTTATTTTTTAACAAATGTTTTTTTTCTTATAAATAAATATATAATAAATAAAATGAAAACTAGTTTATGTAAAATAAAATATATTCAAACAATTTTTTTAGTTTATAATTAAATAATAAATATCTATAAAAAAATGAATTATATATTTTTTAAGTATTTATTATTTTTTATTTTTAATCAAAATAAAAAAAAAAATACTATTTAATTAACTCTTAGAATAATAATAATAAAGATAATTTGAAAACAAAAAAGGTTAGTTGATTTAGCGGGGACTCTTAATAAAAAAAATAAGGCGGGTGAAATAAAAAAAAGAAATAATCACATATATTTTTTATAAAAATAAAATAAAAAAAAAACATAATAAAAATAAAAATAAAAAAAAATGAACGAGAAACTCCGAATATAAGAATTAGTAGATAAAAAATTCGGAATAGAGACAGTAAAAGACGGTCGAGACCGTTTAGGTTTCATCGCCAACTTCAAAACAAGTATAATAAAAGATGAAGAATTAAACGAGCGTAGTGTTTTATAAATATATTACATAGAAGAAAATGGTAATTGGTGTAAATCAATAATCTAATACAATCCTTATTTTTATTTAAGTTGTGAGAATAATTTAGAGAAAGAAATTGCTTTTTTTTTAGAAAAGAAATATTAAAAAAACATTAGTAAAGTGGAAATAATCGAAAAAGTGGATTTAGAAATGCCCAATCATCTAAGTGGCCGTAAAAAAAAATACATCAAATTAAAATTCAACACTGTATCTGAACTAATGTATGTCAGAAATTAAATAAAACCGCAAATCGACCGCCGTAAATAATACAAGCCTGTAATCCAAAACACATAAACTTTATTCCCAGAAACTATAAACTTAAATAAAAATACGGACCTAACTGAATATATAACAGATATTAGAGAATACGATGTACCTTATCACTCCCGTGTATGTATAGACTTAAATATAAGAGCGGCTAAATGGTATAAAATATCCTTCAAAGATAACGTAGTAAATTAAATTGTTTGCATGGAAAATATTGTAGAACGTCCAGAATTAAAATATTTGGCATTTGATATAGAAACTAGTAAAGCTTAGTTATAATTTCCGGATGCTAAAATAGACGTAGTGATGATGATTTCACTTATGTACGAAGGGGATGCTTATCTTATTGTAAATAGGGAATTTTGCGGGTAGGATGTGGAGGGATTTGAGTATGCACCGAAACCGGAATTTGAGTGTACGGTGAATATTTTTAATGTGAAGAATGAATATGAGTGTATTAAAAAATTCTTTGATATTATTGTGTCTTATAGGGCTTTTATTATTACAAGCTTTAATGGGGATAAGTTCGATTGGCCATTTATACATGAAAGATGTAATTAAGTAGGGCTTTCTTTAGAAAAGGAAATTGGAATTAATTTAGAAGAAGGTCCGGAGTATTTTGGAAGGTTTATTACTCATTTAGATTGTCTTTATTGGGTTATTAGAGATGCATATTTGCCATAAGGTTCTCATGGGCTTAAAAGTGTTACTAAGGCTAAATTAGGGTATTAACCAATTGAAGTCGATCCAGAAAAAATGGTTTTTCTGGCGAAAGAAAATACTTAGATTTTAGCTGAGTATTCAGTTTCAGATGCTGTTGCGACTTATTTTTTATATAAAAAACATATTCATGATTTTATTTTTGCGCTGTGTACAATTATACCTTGTTATTCGGATGAAGTTTTGAGGAAAGGGTCAGGTACTTTATGTGAGAATTTACTTATGACTGAGGCTTTTAATAGAAATATTATTTTCCCAAATAAAAAAATGGAAAATAAAGAAAAAATGCATAAAGGACATTGGTTAGATTCTGAAACATATTAAGGTTTTAAAAAAAACATATATGTTTTTTTTAATTTAATAATAATAATAAAAAAAGGTGGTAAAGTAGAATGCTTAAGAAGTGGTGTCTTTCGATCAGATATAAAGACGAAATTTTAATTAGAAAAAAATGCCTTTTAAACATTAATAGATAATGTAGATAAACTGCTTGAATTTGTAATGAAAATAGAATAAAATAGACAAGTTGAAGAACTTGAAAATTACGAAGATGTAAGAAATTAAATAGTTGAAGGTTTAGAAAAACTTAGAGATATTCCAAATGTAAATAATTATGAAGATTATCCTTTAATATATCATTTGGATGTAGCTGCTATGTATCCTAATATTATTTTGACAAATAGATTATAACCAGTAGCTATTGTAAATGAGTAAATATGTTCAAGTTGTTTATTTAATTCACCTGAGAATTAATGCAAAAGACCTTTAGAATGGATGTGGAAAGGTGAATATTTTCCACTAAATAGAAGTGAATTTGAAACTATAAAAAGTAATTTGGAATATGAAAGAGCTTTAAATGTATTTTTTATTTAAAAAAATAAAAAATTATTAATATATTAAATAGTCTGAAAATAACAATAAAGATAAAAATTATTATGAAATAAATAACACAGAAGATTTCTATAAATAATTAAAATAAAGAGTAAAAGTTTATTCTTAAAAAACTTACAAAACAATGCATATATCGGAAACTACTCTAAAATAAAATACAGTATGTATGCGTGAAAATTCATTTTATATAGACACTGTCCGTGCTTTTCGTAAAAAATAAAAACAAGAAATACATAAATCTAAAAAAAAACATATAATTATACATAAAGGTGATAGAAGATATACTTATAAAACTTTAGTAAAAGTATGGAAAGGAAAGGCTGAAGAAGCAAGTTAAAAAGGAGATACTGAAGGCAAAAAAGAAGCAGGAAATTTAGAAGCATTATACGAATCAATGCAATTAGCCCATAAGATTATACTGAATAGTTTTTACGGATACGTTATGAGGAAAGGTGCCAGATGGTACTCTATGGAAATGGCGGCTATGGTAACACATATAGGTTCTAGTATTATTTTAGATGCAAAAAATTTTATTGATTGTGTGGGGAAGCCTTTAGAATTGGACACTGATGGGATTTGGTGTTTATTACCGAAGGGGTTCCCAGAAAGCTTTTAGTTAAAATTTGTGGATGGAAAAAAGTGGAAAATAGAATATCCTTGCTCAATATTGAATTATTTGATTTATGAGAAATACTGCAATGATTAATATTAGACTTTAAAAGATGAGACGAATTTAAAATACGAAAGTAATAAAGAAATGTCGATTTTTTTCGAACTGGATGGACCTTATAAGGCTATGGTTATCCCTGCGGCTAGAGAAGAAGGGAAGTTATTAAAAAAAGGATACGTAGTATATAATCATAACGGGAAAATTGCAGAAATAAAAGGCTTTGAAATCAAAAGAAGAGGTGAATTAGAAATCTTGAAAATTTTTCAATCAGAAATCTTCTCGGAATTTCCAGCTGGAAGTTCGCTTAAAGAATGCTATGAAGCTTGTGCTTTTGTGGCAAGGAAATGGCTTAATTTATTAATAATGAAAGTAATACTTATTATATGCACATATATATATATATATATATTAATAATTTTAAATATAAGGGTTAAGGACTTACAGATGATGAACTAATAGATTATATTTGCCAAACTAAAGTCTTATCGAAATAATTATAAGATTATGGTGAATAAAAGGGTGTAGGTTTAACCTGTGCTAAAAGACTGAAAGAATTTCTAGGTCCAGATGTTGCTAAGGGAAAAAGTTTAAACTGTATATATGTTATGAGTGCCAAACCTGTGGAATTAAGTAGGGCTGAAAGGGCTATTCCAGTTTAAATATTCGGATCTGATAATGAGATTAGGAAACGATTTTTGAAAAAATGGTTAAAAGATAATAGCTTAGGTGATGAATAACTGGAACTTAGAAATATTTTAGATTGGGATTACTATATAGAAAGACTAAGTAATGCAATTTAGAAAATTATTATTATACCGGCAACTATTTAGAGTATTAATAATATTCTTCCAGAAGTGGCAGTTCCTGATTGGTTAAAGAAACGATTAAGGGAATAAGACAGTAAATTTTAACAATAGAAAATTGGTTAATATTTTACTTAGTAATAATAGACTTTTTCTATAAAAAATAAATAATAATAATAAATTGGATCGATTCCTTAAGCTACACATATAAAAATAATTCAAGAACAAAAATAAGAAATTGTTCAAGAACCTAAAAAAAAAAAACATAATCCTTATAATATGAATACTTAATTTAAAGAATTTCTCTCTTTTTAGAAAATGTTATGGCTTGAATAAAAAAAACAGATAGAAAAACCTTAATTAAACAATATTCGTTAGATTTTTTCTAATTAAGACCATATTATATTATAATAAGACTGGCATATTTTATAAATAATACCTTCTGAATAACTTGGCGTATATAGAATATGGATTTATCCTATGTAGACTAGAAATTTAATATAAATAAAAGTCTAAATACCACGGGTTATATATATGAATAGTCTATGTGAATATAAACTGGAAGATAATAATTTCTTCAAATTAGTTAAAAAAAAACTACCTAGGGAAAAAAAAGCACATTTTTTATATGAAGTTAGCAAAAACGAGAACGAAATTCACGAAAAATTAAATGATTTTGATTATTTTTTGACAAATCCGGAAATCGAGAACATATATGAGCATTTACAGCCTTTAGACTTTAAATTTTTAACCTATATAGGCAATATAATGAAGGTTAATAATAAGATTTTGCCTAAAAATACTTCTTATACTACTCATGTTTTTAGTATGGAATAATTAATAGGTTAATTTGATGTATTATAGCCTTATTTAGATAATATTGATTTAAGTAAAAATCTAATATATGTAGCTGAATTAAAAATGAAGGAAAAAAAATATGGGGAATATTAAATCCAATAATGAATTAATATAATTTTATTTTAGTCCACAAAAATAAAGATTTTAATAAATATAATAAATTAGTAAAAGATAGCCTTCCTTAAAATTGGATAAAGGCAAATATGACTATTAATATACACAATGTAGATGATAATAATAAAGCCTTATAATTTATAGAAACTTACTTTTCAGAAATAAAGGAAAAAAATCACTAAAATACTTACTTTTCCCCATTAATAGTTCTATAAAGTAGTTTTTCTTTATAAAATTTAAAAGAATTAGGTTATAAGCAGTTAGTATAGAATTTCCCGTGTATATAAATGAATAATTGGATGAAAATATAGGAAAATACGTACACTATATTAGATTGGTAAAAAAAAGGAATCAAATATATCTGCTAGAGAAGTGAAAAAATATAAGAAGAACTAGATTATGCAATTTAATTATGCTCTTAAGTTTAAATTCCGTTATGTAATTTGGACTTTTCAAAGCCTATTTCTTATTTAACAGACGTTATTTTTGCCAGGCTTTTAAAATAGTCGAACTGTATCAGTTGGTATGGGATATATTCGAATAATTAAAACAATAATGGTTAGACTTAGAAGGATTTCTAGCATTTAATCCCTTCTGATTTCCTTAAAAACGAAGTTGTTTTTCCGGGTCTATATGTAAATCATACTGTGGAAATAAATATAGAGCTCTTAGCTTTAAATACTATCGCTAATGCAGATGAATTAAAAAATATAGACAAAGAAACGTCTATATTATTCGAAATGAAGAAAAAAATAATGATTAATATGAAGGAGAGGATATAGATGAACTTACTTAGGCTAAATAAGCATTTAAAATTCTGTAAACTATGGTCTAAAGTTGGATAAATGATGTGTAATTTCACGAAAATTATATTTCTGATTAGTTTATTTAAAATATACATGCATGGATTTCCTCGTAAGACTCGCCTTTGTATGATCCAATATTATCGAGGATGTTAAATAAATTAACTAAGAAAATTTTTCAGTATTTTATATAGAAATTAAGAGATTTAGGTGCTAAAATAGTTTACGCGACTACAAATAAGATTATTTTAGATACTGGGAAAAATACATATAGGGAAAGTCATAATTATGCATAATATATATTATAAACAGTATTAGCTTAACCACTTTTTAAAGTATTAACTTTAACTCCTTTGAGATATTTTTAAATTTTAATTTTAAAAGATTCGCATAATTATATGGGGATTTTAGATGAAAATACCGATAATATAGATGATAATAATAATATTTAGATAGTAAATAAATGGCATATTGGATAATTTTTACCTTAGAAATTAAGGAATTATTTAGAGGCGATTATTTTTGAATATTTACATAAGATTCTTTAGGAGAAAAATAATTTAAGAAATGATCTTTTGTTTTTGGAGAAAATTGAAGAGTTTTGTAAAAATTATGTTTAGAATTTACTTTCTGAAAAATTATTAGATGCAATTCCTGATTTGGAAAAATAAATTAGAAAATCCAAAATGGAAATCGAAAAAATACAAAATTAAATTATTTAATTAAATGACGCTTTTGAATAATTTCAAATATAGGAAAGACAATAAATCGAATAATAATAGTAAATTAATAAAGCTATGGATAAAAAAGACAGAAGAATTTTAGAAGCGGATGAACTAGATGCTTTACAATAATAAAAAGAGGAATAAAAATACAAACAAAAGAAAAAAAAATAACAATAAGAAGAAAATCAATTAGAAGAAGAGGAAGAAGATGAAGAATTTGACAGTTTTATAGTCCAAGACGATGCTCCTATATCACAAGAATAAGATGAAAATAATGAAAATTCATAAATTGAATAATTAAGTGAAATAATAGACTAATAATAATATTAATTTGGCACCTATGAGAGTATTACTGAAGAACATTTTCTGAAAAAAATCGAGATTTTGAAAAAAAAACTACAAGAAATGTAATAAGGTTGGAATTTCCCTTTGTAAATCGAAGGAGCGAAACAAAATTATGAAAATAGTATTTTAGAGTTTTTAAATTTCTTATTCCATATATTAAATTTGGACCCAAAAATAAACGAAGAAATAATTGTTATTAAAAGAAATTGCTTAAAAATGCTTAAAATAAATGATTTTTAAAAAATAGCAGAATATAAAGAACCATGTATTATATTAAAAATATAGGATGTTGTATGCAAAAACTGTCTACATGTAATAGAATTAGATGTTTTTAGAGATTTATGGGTATGTTAGGAATGCTCAATTCCATATGATAAGTATTATTTAGAAAATAAATTAATCTAAGAAATCTAAAATGAAATTACTTTATATTAAATTTAAGATCTTTATTGTGTTAAATGCTTTGGGGTTAAAGATGATTATTTATCAGTAAATTGTCCAGGATGCTCGACTGGTTATAAAGTTAATATTGATTCTAATGTTACACCACTTATAGGGATTGATGGAGTCAAAGTAAGGAATAGTTTACTTTTGTTAGCAGAAAAAAATTAATTTAGTGTTTTAAAACATGTTATTTTAAATAGCTGGAAATTAATGTGAATTTTTTATTTTTTAATTAAAATATAAAAATATAAATATATTTTTATATATAAAATATTATTGTGTATTTATAAAATTATATATAAAATATAATTTTTAATTTGATATAAAATTATTTAATATTAATAAATAATTTTATTGATAAATAATTTTAAAATTAATAAAACATTAAAAAAAAAATATAAAATATTTTATAAATTTTAAATATTTTAATAAGTAATAAATAATAATAATAATAATAATAATAATAATAATAATAAAAAAATAATAATAATAATAAAAATATTATTAAAAAAAAAAATATATATATTTTAAAATAAAATAAATTAAAATTTTAAAATAGTATAATGGGAGGTGCAATTTTCCAACCAAAGCATGAATATTTTGATACAAATTAAGAAACAAAATTTACAAAAATCCTCCAAAATTTCTTATTAACTGATTTTTATTTTTTAGATTAACATCTTGGGAGAGTCGAATTATTTTAATGCAAACACAATAAAAATTATAAATTATACTTAAAAGAGATAATAGTAAAATCAAATTAAGAATTATAAGAATAATTCGAAATGTGGTAAAAACGATAGCATGAATTAATTCATTTAAATTTATATTAATTACACGGTAAATAAAAATTACATAATATATAAATAAATATATATATTTATATATTTATATATTTATATATTTTCATATATTTTTTTTTAACTACATATTTTAATTTTTATTTTTAATGTTTATCATTTTTTTTTACTTTTATTCATTCTATTATTTTCATTTTTATAAATTAATATTTTTTTTTTAAATATTATTCATATTTACATAATATTTTTTTTTTAATTTTTTTTAATAATCATTTATTTATAATTATATATATTGTTTTATATTAATATTTATTTATATAATATATATATTTTTTAGCATCTTGTTATACATAATATGAAAGTTTTTGTTCTAATTTTTATAAGATTTTTCTTTTATTTGATAGTATTAAATTTGATTTACATTAACATATGTAATAAATATAAGTTAATGAAGATTTTTTGTGGATTTTAATTGATAGTTTGATTAGTGTATTAAGCTTTTTAGAATAAAAAGAATTACCACATTAAGCGTTGAATTTTTAGAATATATATATAATCAGTAATCATATCAATTAGTAAATATTTAAAATAGCTGATTCATAATTAATGGCATACGTGTCAAATTACGACTAATTTCTTTAAAATAATATATTATCAAATTATTTATCACCTTTACTATTCAAATAAGCAGGTTCAAATATATAAAATCCATAACATGACCCTTTTAAAAGTGACGTATTTACACTAGGAATGCTAATTTTGCATTTAGCTATGTAGGAAAGCTGTTATGATGTATATTCAATGATTGATTTTTAAATTATTGAGCCTGTTTTGTAAAGTAGAATTCGATAAATAAAAGAAAAAAAAGGATATTCGTATGATTTGTAATAGATATTGTATTAAATGTGTGAAATAGATGAAAAATTAAGACCTAATTTTAACTAATTAAATAGGAAATTATACTCTGTGCCTTTTTTGTGTACTAAAAGAGTAGAAAATAATATTAAAATCAGCTTTTTATTAGAAATGTTAAATCCAGTACATTTTTGGGATGAAGATGAAAAAAAAGCTAGAAAAGAAAAAGAAAAAATGTAAAAATTAGAAAAAAAAGAAAATAATAAAGAAAAATAATAAATAGTTTTTAATAAAGCTTTAGAAAATAATCCAGCAGTTTAAATTCTTAAATAGACTTTAGCAAAAACTAATATTTTTTTGAATTAATATGAGAAATAGGAAAATAATTAACTATAATAATTAAATGTTTAATTTTAATAATAACCAAATAGTTAAGAATAATCAAATATTTAATAATTATAATTAAATTAATAATAATAATTAAAAATATAATAAGAAAATGTTATTATTAATTAAAGTTTTAAAAATTATGAAATTCCATTTACAAATGTTAAGTCAAAAAAAAATATTAATGATTTAACTTAATAAGATAATACTTTACTTATTATTCAAAATACACCTTAAGGCAAAAAATTTGATTCTTCTTATTAAAAAACAAAATAATTATAAAATTAAAATTAATAAAATTCATTATAATAATAAAATTCAATTTAAGAATAGAATTAATATAGTGATAATGGAAAATATAATATTATTGAATAGGAAGAAAATAAAATATCAAATTCAAAAAATAATGAGGAATCAAATAAAAGCATTGAATCTTTACAAAAAAAAGAATAATAGAGTAATTCTTAAAATAATATAAAAGAAAATAAATAAAATTTAAATAAGTAAGAATAATAATTCAATAAATAAAAAATTTAAATAGATATAAATGAAGATTAAAAAAGAAAAGAAAATAATAATGATGAAGAGCCTAAATATTTAGAACTTTAATATAATGATAATAGTTATTATAAAGGATAAGTGATAAAAGAAAAAATAAAACATGGAGAAGGGACATATATTTTTCCTTGTAAAACAAAATATGTTGGATAATGGATTAATAATATGATGCATGTAAAATAAAAAATATATATATATATATATATATGAACTTTTAT